TGTAACTAAATTATGTAGTTGTACAAATTAATGTGAGGCAGAGACAATGGGAATATTTTGGCTTGACGTACACGAAAGAGATAAATGTTGGAAATGAACCTAAGCAAGAACAAGAGAATTAAGAAGAAGTGGGTTTCAAACATTGTTGCCATTGGTGCTCCCTAAGATCGATGTTGCTTCTTTATTTATCAAAAATTCCCATCACTACTAGTTTTGAAAACTAATATCATGCTTTCAATTATATGTGAACACGAGGATTTGGCTCAAAGAATAAATCCTTATTGACATTGCATTTTTGTTATCAGTTTAGCTAAAGTAAAACTAATTTCATTCTTGCTTTATTATTGGAGAATGAAAAGACAACAGTGACAAAACCAACTTAATAATAGAAAAAGGTATCTAATTCTTTTTTCAAATTGAGTTAATCACTCAATTTGATTACAAATATTTAATATTGTTTTGGTGTATATAAGAAAGTCATCCATTAATTTCTTTTTAATTTAAAATTTTTGAAACTAAATTGTTATATTTTTAATTTTTGATGATTGATTTTGTAAATATTTTATTTTTACTTTAACGAAAAATTAATGAATTTCGTTAGTTTAGGTACTAAAATTTTTAAACTTTTAACTTTAAGAGTTAAAAACTTTATAATATAAAATGAAAAATGAAAAATTTTAAATTTAATAAATTAAATGGTTAAATATGTGTATATATATATATATATATACCCAATTGCTTTTGATATCAGTATGAACTGAAGGGTGCATTTGGTTCACCCTTCCCATGCAATTTTTCCCTGGGGAGCCAAGGCAACTTTTAAGTTGGCTTTTTGGGTTCCAATATTAAAAAATGTATCTGGAAAGTGTTATAAATTTGTAATCGATTATAATGTATAAAAAATCGGTTATATTACATGAAATTCGAAATAAGCTGTTACATTTCAATAAAACCAATTCCTTTCCTAAGAAAATTTTCTTCCCGTATATTTGATCGGGTAGAACTTTTGGGGGATGTTAGTTGGTTATATGCTATAATCAATTACAAACCTTTGATCCTGAAAAAATAAAATCCCAAGCCAAGCCTAAGTTTTGCTGGCTTGGCTTCCAAGGAAAAAATTTCCAGGGAAGGGTGAACCAAAAGCACCGGAAGGACAACATCATTTCTCAGGAATTATATTATTCCATGCTACTCCTTACCCAGAATATAGTTGAAGGAATCATTTTATAGATACATTGATACAAGCTTGGAGAAACAGAGTCTAGGCCCAACTGGTTGTTAATGGGACAAAAAGCATGCACTTAACTTGCGTTTGGGCTATATGTATTACGCCGGAATAATTTTTCCAACTATCTGGTTCCGTAAAGATTTTAACATTTAATTTTGACTCGAATTAAGATTTTTATATTTATAACTGTTAATTTAATTAAAATTTTATATATTATATTTGGTTTAAGCATACTTGTTTATTAATGTCAATAATATAATTCTTTATTAAACAGTAGTACTACTAATTATAAAATCAATATTCATTATTATTACATGAACTGAAATTTCAGTAAAGATATATAAGTTCAACCACTAAATATTAGGCAATAGAAACGACCCATGTCCCACATTGGAACTTAGAAGCTCAACATTATTTATACAAAAATGCTACGTGTACAATATTTTTAAATATAATAGTCTTTACAATATAATGTGATTTTTTGTAATTAATTTTTTAATTTGAGAAATTCTGATAAATTAATATATATTTATTAATTTAATGTCAAGTTATGTACTATATTTTAAAAACCATTATAGTTAAAAATATTATAATTATGACATCACCATTTTATTAATATAGATAAATGGAGTAAGTAGATAGGGGTCAATTGTTACCCTTCTAGACAATAAGTTACTTACTGTTGGGCCATACATTTTCAAGCACGGTGAAATCCATTGGACCAACAATGGCAATCACCTTTTTTTTTGCAATTGTTTGCCGCCTGTTCTCCGAGTTGGGCCTTAATTAATTCGGAAAAGCTGGGCAATTCCGCCACAACATAGAGTACTAGGTGGACGTTTCCGATGCTCCAAGTTATGGGTAAAAATTATTCACTGGACATGATAAAATAGTTTGTGCAGAAGCATTATTGGCAGCAAGAAGCAGCCCCAGCAAAAGGAGGGGCATTGCCATTGCCTTCCAGTAAACTCATTTTCTTCAAGTGTCTGCGTGTTGGATGGAGATGTTTCAAGTTCGTGTTTATGTTCGAAGCTTGTAGTTGAGGGCCAGGGCACAGTCTCTTTTATAGAGATAGCAAAGAAAGCAAAGAAATCAAAGATAAATGGGTTGAGAAAATGTCAAAAAATTTAATTGAATGTGACTCAATTCATCAATAAACGTTTTTGCTACAACTTGCACACATAAATTTATATGCTTTTTGTATTTTTGGTTCCAAGCCCCCAAACTTTATGGGACAATTAATATATGACATCAAATTTATTGCCAATGAAGTTTTGCATAAGACCATTAGTATGTGGTCTGGTAGTAGAGTTTTTTGATATATTAGAAAATGTATTATATAACATAAAATAGCCATTTCATTCTTTTAATCTTTTCTCATATTTAACTCGGAGTTTTAAATTCTTAAACACTTCAGACACTCTTTTAAGGTATTTGATAGTAAAGTTGTTTAGTCATTCAACCTTCAATACAAAAAAAATGAAGTTTTGTAAACTTCAAATTTTCAAGAAATGGAAGGTACAAACTCTTTTAAACTTCAAAGTTTCAAGAAATTGAAGATACAAATTCTTTAAACTTCAAATTTGCAAGAAATTCAAGGTACAAACTTAGCATACATAAATTAATTTAGGTAGAGCTTATTCCATTAATTTCAAAACTCCTACGATCCCAAATGAAGAACTAAGATGGTCCAGCGAGCTTTATATCAGCATAAACATGGGGAAGCTATTGCATATTTGCATAGAGAAGAGGGAAAGAATTTGAACTTTATTTCATCCTCTAAACCATAACAGAAGTATTTTAAGATAATTAGGTATACCACCATTGCATGGGAGAATTAAGTTCTTATCCTAGATTAGAGCTCATTCACAAATAGTTAAGTTACATAATAACTTCTTGACAAACATTTGTTAATAACAATTTTTCATAATCACATAATATTAAAAAAGTAGATAGATGTTCATTTACACCATCTTTTTTTTTTTTATCAACTAATTAATGAATTTTATTAATAATGTGTATAAAAATACTCCAACCCTTACATTAAATTAATTATTAAAT